GAGATGGGCAGCTGTAACAGTGTCAAGAGGTGTTCTTCAGGAACTTCTGCCCACCTGCCCTGCTTTTGTGGGTTTCTGAGAGCTTGGCCTGCAGTGGCAGCCTGGATGTTGTTTGGATCTGTGGGCTGCAGTTTTAAGAAAGATGGATGGAGAGAGAGCAGGTACTAAACCTCAGAGTAAGGAAGAAAGTGAGCCAACAGGAATGGAAAGGGAACGTATGCAGTGTGGACTGAGAAATGTATGTCAGGAGAAGAAAAGTAATGAAATGTGTTTCTTCTGGATGGGAGTGTACAAATTGATTTGGAAATTGCTCACCATTGGTGGCCTAAAGATGGGAAGGTCTGCTTAGACCACAGGTAATTGAAATTGTTAATTTCAGAGGCACACGCAGGTAATTTAAAAGGACAGTACGTTGTCTGTTTTTCCCCTTCCTTCCGCTTTCCCAGTAGTGCCTGTGCAGGTTATTTTTCTTTTGCCTAACTAGTTGCAGTTTTAAAGAAAGTCCGTAAAGCTAAAGAAACTTGGCTTCCTCTGAAGCCCGTCCAAAAATCATTTTGGAGTTAGGTGCTGACATATTGTGCGGAACTTCACGTTTCGTAGCATCAATCAGCTTGTGGACAGTAATGCCGTTTGATGTAATGGATGCAATTGAATGTGCGGTGTCACTTCACGATACATCAACTTTGAGCATAAGCACGAACAAATTGCTTGAACTATTTTAAGATACCGCACTGCCCTTTTTCACTGTCAATTTTAATAAGTAAAAATAATTTGTTCCAAGTATAACTCAGAGCCATATTGTTTTCCGCAAAGCTCTACCCAGCGAGATGAAAAGCAGAAGAAAATACCTGGTGGGTGCTGCTTTCTAAGGGCACGATGCTTTTTCTTATCTGCTCCGTCTGCCAGTCTCTTAGTATGCGACATTTAATCCTGAAAGACATGTAAGGGGAGAATTTGACTGATGTCGGGGACTGAGAAGCAAAATTAGGTTCTTTGCTAATTGCTGGGAGCAAGAGGGATGGTGAACTGGGCCACAGGATATTAGCCACATTCCAGGGGCTGATTCAGATTTGAGTGGTGACGCTGGTTGCCGTAAGACTGGGGAACATGGGTTAGTTCAAGGTCCTGGGATGTAGCAGGAGGAGGTGATCAGCTCAAGGACAGGAGCTTTGTTCCTGGGAATGGTCTGGGTGTGTGACCAGTGCGAGGGGCCGCTGGGGATGAGGAACTCTCAGGTGCAGACCAGCCTCCCCCCCCCCCCCCGAGCTGAACCACGTGGCCAGGCACCCACAGATGTGGAGAGGAGTTGTGGCACCTGCAGAAAGCCCTGCCTGGAGGGCTGCAGCTTAGGTGGGTTCCTAAGGAAAGGCCCTGGAGGAAGTTGCTAGCCTGGGTTCGACAGACGGCGGTGGGGGTGCTCAGTGTACTTCATTTGTCTGCCTCTTGCTCCTTCAGCAAACGAATGCTGAGCTTAAGTGATGGCCACCAATTGGAGGGTGGATTGCAGAAAGTCACAGAGGTAATTATAGTCTGATGCCCCCCCTTATTGGAGGCAGTATCCCTGTGTTTTGGCCCAGAAGCCCAAAGAATTGAGGCCTTTGCATCGTGGTGCTGGAGGAGACTCCCTTGGACCGCAAGGCGATCAAACCGGTCAGTCCTAGAGGAGATCAACCCTGACTGCTCTCTAGAAGGCCAGATGCTGAAGATGAAACTCAAATACTTTGGCCACCTAATGAGAAGGAAGGACTCCCTGGAGAAGAGCCTGATGCTGGGAATGATTGATGGCAAAAGAAGGAGGGGACGGCAGAGGATGAGGTGGCTGGATGGGGTCACTGAAGCTTGGGTGGACTCCGGGGGATGGTGGAGGACAGGAAGGCCTGGAGGAGTGTTGTCCATGGGGTCACGATGGGTCGGACATGACTTCGCGACTAACAACAACATCCCTATGTAGACCAGTTGCTGGGGAACATGGGGCAGGGAAGGGTGTGATTTCACTTGTGCATTTCCTTTGGGCAGTTTCTTGTCCAGTTTTTCAGTGAAATAGACTCTTGGTCTGATGCAGCATAGATTTTTTATATTCTTTGAATGGGATACTGTCCCCCCCCCCCTCACAACCAAAGGAAGTGCAGCATTGGAGGTACTGATGATTACTTTTCGTTCAAGCATCCCCTACAGATTCATCCTGATTACTTGGGTGGGCTCTCATCAAAGTTGATTAGAACATTAGAACTGGGGATAGATTTGCTGTAAATCATTTTTTAAAGTAAAACAGAGATCTATGTTTTCTTAGCTTTCTGTGTTGCAAGAGCACAACAAATTGGCTTTAAAATAAAATGCAGAAGAGAATGCCATTTCATGTCAGCATCATTGAAAGCAAGTATTTGAAATTGGCTATAAATAAGGGTGGTTTCACAAAGCAGGCACTGTCAGTTATATGTGCTGATACCATAGACGGCTGGTGAGCTGTTGTATAAAAATGAAGTGTGGGCTGGGGGATAATAAATTTGAACCCAAAGCTGGGTTCGTTTATTTATTATTATATATATATATCCCATCTTGTTTCCTTCCAAGGAACTCAAGGTGGCTTGCATAATTCTCCTACTTACTTAAGCTGCAACCCTGCGAGGTAGGCCGGGCCGAGAGTCGGTGACTGGCCCAAAGTCACCCAGTGAGCTCCATGGCTGAGCGGGGACTCGAACCCGGATCTCCTGGGTCCCAGTCCACTACGCCAGACTTTGTCAGGAACTGCAGAACAGTGTAGCTCCTTCTTGGTTCACCCTGCAAGTATTTGCAGGAGTGGTGTTAAGTCTACGGGTACTTCTGGGTATTGGAGCCACTGCAGTCATGGAAGCCAGCTGGAAGCCCCCGGAGGGGTGGCAAAAGGCCGCCTGGCCCTGCCTGGGCTTCCTACGCCACACAGCCCTTTGTGATGGCTGCTTGGTGCTCATGCTCACGGATCACAGAACAGGGCTAGCGTTGGAAGGGGCCACGAAGGCCCTCAGGTCCAACCCTCTTCTGGTGCAGGACATCAATCTATACCAGGTGTAGGAATACAGCCATCATGAGTGTGATGGTGCTTTCCGGACGTGTTGAACTACCGCTCCCACAATGCTTACTCATGGTGGCCAAGAATTGTGGGGAGTGTAGGCCAACACGCCTGGAGGCCTCCAACTAGAATCATAACCCTGTTTCTGGCCTCACCTTTGTCTCTGGTTTTTCCATTCCTTGCCAGCATCTGATGCTCACCCGCCCTTGACTTTTGTCCTTGCCTCTGGCTCTGCCTCTGGTGTCTGACCCGTGCCTGTGCCCGATCTTGCCTTCGTCACTGGTCCTACCACATCTCACAAAAGCCCACCTCATCCCCTGTCCCGGTGCTCCATTTGCAGACATCCGCTGCTTATGTCTTATTCTTGGCAGCCTTTAACAAGGACCGGGAAAGAAACAGGTTCTAGGTGTCAAGCTGCCTGTCCAGCAGCTAATCTTCAGCCTTCTTGAACCCGGAGCCTTCCCAGTTGGACTGGATTGCAACTCCCGTAGTCTCCATCTAGCCTGGCCAATGGCCAGGCTCCAAAGTCGCAGCAGAACCCTGTTGAGGTGAAAGAATAGTGGAAAGGTTTCTTGATTTCATTCCAGTATTTGGCCAGTTATGGGAATAATATTTCTGGTAGCTTGGTGGAAATTCCATCACGTTTGGCTTTGTATTGATTCAGCCAATCCGGTAGGCTTATGCAAGGAATAAATTTCCTCAGGTAATCCGCCAGGCTGCCTCTGCTGTTCATCCTGCAGGTGTGGAGCCTTAAATGTCATTTTGCCTGATGGCCGAGTTCCATTTCAGAGAAGCTTTCAGGGCTTGCAAGAGATCGGGGATGCAGGAGGGTTGTGTCAACAAATTTCCTCTTAAATCCTTTACAGCCATTATTAAGCTGTAGAGGAGGCATTCCAACTCTTTAGAATGGGAGAAACACAGGCAATTGAAATTGGGTGGAGGGGAGAAGGGGGCAGAGGAAGGAAGCAAAGTTCTCTGGGGATCCCTAGGGGGTTTGGCCCCAGGCCTGACTCTCCACACCTCTAATTTAAGGGGCCCTTCTCTGAGTCTTCTGCGCAGTGGGCTCCTCCCTTTGGTTCCTCAGATTGTATTATGCCTCCTTACTGAAAGTGCAAGAACTTCAGCAAAGGATCATTCCTGTTCCAATTCCTGGGTAATATTTAGAAACATAGAAACAGAGCGAGTCAGAAGGGGTCTCCCGGGCCATCTAGTCTGACCCCCGGCTCCAGCCGGCTCCGCTCACGACATGCCCACCATAAGCATGTCAAGCCTATCCTATTTGATCAAATCCTCTGGATTTCTGATTTGTTGTAGAAAGGTGTCGTGCCGCAAGTCTGTCTGGCAAAGTACCCAAAGAATGGCCGTAAAAACTACCTGAGGGGGTGGCCTGGAACGAACACAGTTCTTTAAAAGGCTGTTGATTACCTGTAAATGACAGCTGTCTTCATCGTTCCGGCTGCTAAGCATCTACGTACCATCAAACATGATAGTTGCTGCATCAAAAGCTTAGAGAGTTTAAAAGAGGGGCTTCCTACCATTTGGGGTTGGTGGGCTTATTTGGAGTTTTGAGAGCGCATCGTATGTTGGAAAGGTGCATAGCTAATTCCTGCGATGGCTGTTGCAGTGTGCGAGGTGTGTCTCAAAACACTCATTTCCCAGAAGGCAAGATGGTGACACTAAAAGACAAGTCATCGCCCAAGATCCAGGTAGAGGGAGGAGCCTGAGCTCTGAAGCACAGAACTGCTATTTTGGATCCGGAGCAAGGTGATGCTGGGGGGCTGCCCCTCACTTTGCGGCGCACCCGTTTCCCGCTTATGGTCATTAAAATAAAATAAAAGGAGGAGGAGCCACGCACCTGGAGGGTACCAGGAGAGCACAGAGACCTCGTCTTTAAACGGACTTGCTTCTACGATCGATTTTCTCTTTGACAGGCCCGTATTTTCTTATCTTTCAGGGAAGCATCATGTGAATGGAAACAGCATGGTCGAACCTTTTCCGCAGGGACTGCATATGGCGATGTTTGGTAAGTGAAGCTGCCATCCTAAACCCACCCACCTGAGCGTAAGACCTGTTGAGCCTCACGGGGCTTACTTCCAAGTAGGAGTGCCCTGATATTTGGATATCAATTTTACTGATTATTTCTGTAGCTGTTTACACACCCAGAACTGGTTTGCTATTATTATTCCGTTCTGTTCCTGTTGCAATTCACAATCCTGGGTGCCATCGGGAAGGGATGCCCTGCACTGAGCAGGTATGGACCCCATGGCCCTCTGGCCCCTTCCAGCTCTACTCTTTTAGGGTTCTGTGATTCTAAGCCTTACCCAAGGATTCAGGCCTGAGCAGTGAGTTGATCGTGGCTTCTCCGTATCCAGCTCCAGTGTTTATCTTTGCCACTGGAAGGCCCTGGTAGGCCTACTCAGAGGTCGGTACACACGCAGAGCAGGCCCTGAACTGAACTGGGGCTTCTTCCACAGGGGAAAAGTAGGCATGTATGGGATTATGGGATGAAACTCACAGCTGATACATAACACACTTGTGTTGTCAAGGCCTTCTTTACAAATGTACGAGATCATGCCGGCAAAGTGAACAGACCCAGTCACTTGAAAATAGAGTTTCTAATAGCCTGATTGTCTTATGTAATAAGTTACTTAAGATGGTATACTTAAGATGCTTAACTGGTGCGTAGCACTCAGATGCAGGTGGAACACCATTAAGGACAGAGATAATCTAAGTCAGGCTTTCCCGGCCTGCAAAGATAGCTCCGTAGTTCGCCATGAGGATACTTTTGTTGAGTGTCTTCCCCTCAAAATCAGTGCATTATGAAGTTTCTCTCATGCTTTTGTGTCAGGGCCAAGGCAGTGATGCTTTGGGGTGTGGAACAAACAGGTACCCATGAGCATCCCATCGAGAGCCTTCAGCAAAGACACATACAGGGAGGAGCTCCAGATGCCACTTGGCGCAGCCATGGCTGCTGATGTTCAGTTACGTGTATTTCCAAAACCACAAGGCACATCTCACTCTTCAATGAAATACATTTTCTTATACTCCCAAATAAATGATTTATTAGTCTGCTGTACCCGCGATATTTATGTCAGTACAAAAGTGGGAAAGAAAGGTTCCCATGGAAGATTTTTTCCATTTTTGATCTGGCGTGCTTTTATTTTGCGCTAGGTGTAGTTGAGGCACGGAGAAACAAAGCCACCGACTCAAGGTGCCTTCAAAACACTTGCGGCCACTGCGACATTGCCAGGGACATTCTCTGAAGTACATTGTGCAGTAATAAAGGGAGCTGTCCTTGACTGAAGCTGTGTTAACATTCTTTTATTTCAAAGGATGACATATTTATCTTTATATATGTTCCCCTCCATTTTTGTTCCTAGAGGAAAGGGGAATATGACTGTGGGCCCTCTGGTGTGCGTGTTCTCCAGGACTTTGAATGCCATGTTTATGTCTGCTTTTATGTTCTGTTTCCTGAAGAACCACAACTTGCATTTTCATTCTGAAAAATATTTCCTATTTTCCAGGTATTGTTCATCTACTCAGCTTGTGTCCTCTTTATCTGCCTTAATGCCTGTTGAGTTTGATATGAAGCCAGTGTGAGCTGGTTTTCAACAGAGATCTTTTTGATTTGCAGAATACCATTTTCAGAAGCGTACATTTATTTTCAGAAGTGTAAATTTCTTGAATATTCTTCCTGGAATGGTTGTGGGAGCAAAATCGCCTGTTTGGTTCAAAGCAGAACTAGTTGAATCAGAACTTCTACAGTTTGTCGTTTTTGTTCCTCTGATACACCAGTGACTTCCTGCAAGTAAGGGGTTAGGGTTAGGGTTACTTACTGAATGTCGTATAGGTACACCCTGGTTAGGGATGTCAGAGAATTTTACAACAGATTCAAATAATTTGGATTTCTGTTAATCTGATCGGTAAATTCCAAAAGGGACTGCCTTTGCAGAGTCTCTCAAATTCTGTGGATTTTTGAACCTTAAAAAATTTTCTAGAAGTATATGCAAATTTAGTCATAAAAAATAGGAAAGTTAATGGCTAATATGCTAAGGTATACGCCATTAAAAGTACCCACACAGTGATTTAGACTAATCTTTCTTTAGACTGTGATGTAGTAATCTGCTTTTGTGCATTCTGTTCATTGATTGTATGCCGAGCTAAGAAAAATATGCAAAATGTTATGTGCCAGTGAAAGTACTGTAAATTGCAGGGGCCTTTTTCAAAGAGGGAAGAAATCCAAATCCCTTAATGAATGGGTGAGGGAGCAAAAGATGCTTGACAATCTGCAAAACACAGATGTATTTGATTCAACAAAATCTGTACCTCTCCAGTCCCAATAACATTCCCTATGGAAAGATTTCGTAGGTCATACTTGGGATTAGGAAGAAACCTTCTTCTAGATCAACTTAGAGCAGACTTCTATGTTAGTCTGTACATGTGTGACCCCCCCCCCCCCCCCTGCAGCTATGTTCTTATATAATGGAGTGGCCAGATAGCTCAATGGAAGCTAAACTCAGAGAGCCGCATGTGGCCCTTGAGCCTCAGGTCGGTCACCCCTGTTATATAACATGTGGTGTGCTTTGCTTGCTCGGTCCTGTAAAGCTGTTTGCTCAGTTGGAACATTTGCTGTTTCTATCCAGCATCTCGCTGTCGAGGTTCCATCAGATGTGCGCACATTATGATCCATTAAGTTGAGCATATCTCCTCAGGCATTTGTGTTGTCCTGCCAAGTGTCTGGAAACCCCCAACTGCACAGAGATGACGCATGAAACCCCATAATTTATTGGGCTTGACAAATTATATTTTTGTGTTCCTTGAGGTCTGCTCCCCTCATCCCTCACCTCTGATGCCTCCTTTTTACCTCTGAGGCACTTGATGCAGCCCCCATGGTTTTGCAGTCTGAGGCAGGGTGTGAATCCAGGCCGTTTCTTGACCCACCACATGTGGTATCTGCTTTAAGTTAACATGTATGGGCTTTGTGGAGTGGACACGCTTGTCTTTGGGATATTGTGCTGGACTGGGTGACCTCCCAGTCCTTTCCAATTAATTGCAAATTAAGTAAGCAAAGGATTCTATTAATAATTCTGTGATCCAGGGCAAGAGGTGCCAGGCTGCTATTAGCATCCGTCTAGCACACTTCACTCCAGAGTCTGATTCCTGTGGATACATTGCCCTCTCTCTTGGATGCAGGTGTGACCTCTTACCTGCTGCTGAGCTCCCGAGCAGCCTGTCCCTTATTCCAGAGCACTGAGTGGGAGAACAGAGGTGCAGTTTTCCATACGGCTTTCAGGCATCGGGTTTATTGTCCTTCCACATGTGAACTTTACTAGCAATAAAAACCTTTGTAGACCCTTGTCAGGGTGCCTCCTGAAGTTAGTGGAGCTAAGACTGGGGAAGAGGGTCTTTTCGGTGATGGTGCCCATAGGAATGGGATTCCCTTCCTAAACGTGCCTGCCCGGTGCCCTCGTTCGTGTCTTCTGGGCACCCGTTTCGAGGTCTGACTTGTTTTTTAAGTGGCAATCCTATATATTTATGTACTTGCCCTATAACAGAAATATCAGGGGGAACCTCACAGCAAGACACATTAAAACGACAGCGGCAGTAGAAAAAGTAAAATGCCTTGGAAAGTAAGATTATAAAAATAAAACTCTGGGGAAAGAGAAATGCTTTTCCCTCGGGCCAGATGGGTGACAGTGGGGGTACAAAGGAAGCCTCCTTATGGAGGAAGGAGCAGGTGAGTTCTTTTGCACCTGCCCACCTCACCTCATTTGGTGGGGCCACCCAGAGGTGGACCTTAGAAGACAATTTAGCAGCATGAGCAAGAAGGGCGTCTTTATGTAGCCCCGCTTGAAACCAATTAGGACTTTAAAAGTCCACACTGGCATAGAAACATAGAAACAGAGTGAGTCAGAAGGGACCTCCAGGGCCATCTAGTCTGACCTCCAGGACCAGCTGGCTCTGCTCACGACATGCCCACCATGTGCATGTCCAGCCTGTCCTTGAACACCCTCACCGATGGGGCCTTAACCACCTCCCGTGGAAGCCCATTCGACATCCTCAGGGTCCCGACTGTCAGGAAGTGCTTCCTGGCATCCAAATGGAACCTTGGCTCCCTGAGCTTTGCTCCTTTGGAGCACGTCCTGCCTTCCGTTGGGCCAGGAAATGACCCGGAAGCCCGTTCTGATGGGAGAGCAGTGGGCCTATCCAACGGCCCAACACTGGCTCTGCCATTTAGGATATCTGCTTCTCCTTCATGGAGTTTTCACTGGCTCCTGTTTTTGTTCTGTCAATTCTGCCGCTGTTTTTTATTACATTGCTTTAAATGCATTGTTCTCCTATTATGTTTTTCTGCTGTGTTATATTACTTGTTAGCCACCTTGAAATTTTGTAGAAAGGCTGACTATAAATCCACATCCTCCCAAGATCCCTTTTGAAATTTTGAAGTGTCTCTGCTGCTGTCAAGGCCAAACCCTTCTCCCTAATGTGCTATTTTGAACAAACACACGAGGAGATTTTTGATGCGAGAGAGCCGCCTGCAAACATGCGCTGCACCACCTGCTGATCCGAGTGGCACCATCGTGGGAAGAAGACGCCACCTTCTTTTCCTGCACGTCTTCCTTGGCTCCTCAGCTAAAGGATGGAGTGTATCAGCACAGGCTGCAATTCCAAAAACCGATTATCTGGGAGTGGCGATTAAAAAGAATCTGGAAGCAGACCTTTTGGTGTTTGCAGAGTGTTCACTCCCCAAGTTCATGGTCTCACTGTCGACTTGATTTCCACTTGTGGAAATGGCTGACCTCATTTCTTCTACCCAAGTCACAATGCCTCCCCCTTCCCACTTTTAACCGTGGCGTTGTGTTAGCTTTTGTTTTGCTGTGACAAGTAGGGGTTAGGGCAGGATGGTTGTGCATAGGCAGAGTGTGTCATATTTTACTTCTGACCTAAGGGAAGGCCTGTGGGTCGGCTGCATGCAGCTGTGCTGGGAAAGGACCCTGCCCGGAATCCTGCAGAGCTGCTGCC